TTTAAGGGGTCTCTAAGGGTTTCGGTTTCAATATAAGAGTTTAGGATAGTTTTAGGTTTTCGGGCTTGCATGGGGTTTGAGCTTAGGGCCCGGGACTTGGGATTTTGAGGTCTGGGGCTTCGGATAAACTACAGGCTCTCCCAGACCCTCAATCATTTCCAATCCTGCTTCCCTCGAACCCACAGCTAGTGAACCCGAAGCCATCGCACGCTCAGGACACAGCTGCGAATGTTGTGCGGTGTGCGAAAGCGCTTGAGGAGGAGGCTCCTTTGCTGCTAGAATGTATTCGGGAAATCTCGATCGTCAACCTGCCGAAAGCTGAGAGCAGACTTCACCCTCTAATCCGTGGCTGGGGTTTGGCAATTCCACTCGATCTGTATATCTTCATGAGAGGACTGCTGGCTGTGCCTATGATTAGGCCGAGCCAGTGGTTTGAGTATCTGCTTTGTAGAAAATCTTCGATTCTTTTGGGTGGATTTGAAACGCAGCATCCGGCAACACCGGGATTCCTTCGATCTTTCTGGGAAGCTTATAGAGGTGAGGAACCCCAGCACCGGGTTTTTCAAGACCACGCGAACGACCTTGACAAGTGTGTGCCGTACTGCCTTTTCAATGACGAAGGGAGGGGTCACAGAAAAAAACCCCTCCAAGTAGTGGCCTTGGAAACTGTATTTTCTGTGTCGAGCTTCGAGAAGTTCGAGATGCTGAAGGCGCATCCCTCTACATGGACTTCGACGATGTTTCAAGGAATCCAGCAGCACACGGTGAAGGGGTCATCTTACACATCGCGCATCCTGCTCTACGTGCTCCCCCACAACCTTTATAAAGGGAAGAAGAACAGGCTCTGGGATCTTGTCATGGACACTGTGACGCGAGATATGGAGCAGCTTTTTCATCGTGGTGTGCAAGTGGATGGAGCCACCTTTTACCCCGTGCTCATCGCCGCAAAGGGTGATTCACCCGCACTGATTAAGCTTTTCAAGCTGGGCCGCTCTTTTACTCGTTGGGAGGGCAAGGCAGGGGTCTGTCCGTACTGTTTAGCAGGCCAACCAGGGATTCCCTGGGAAGACCTCACAAAAACAGCAGCGTGGCGGTCTACCCGGTACACTACAAGGCCATGGTCCCGGCAACACCCACCCAGCATTGCATCTGTGCCGTTTTCAGATGTTCCAGAGAGGTGCATAAGGCCAGACCTCATGCACATGGTGAAGTTGGGGATCGGGCGGCATTTTCTAGCCTCGGCCATTGTTTGCTTGGGGGAGTGGAGCATCTTTGATGACGGGAACAAGATTCTCAGTGTGGAAGGTCTACTCGACACTGTACATCAAGACTTCGAGTACTGCTGTAAGCATGAACTCAAGCAGACCGCCAACTTGAAGCAGTTCACAAAGGACCTGCTGCACTGGCCACGACGGTCATCCTACCCATGGGGCGGATTCTTGTCCAGTTAGCTTTCGTTCCATCATGAAGTAATGCCACCCCTCACTCAAGGAAACATACTGTTCTACAATCAAAATAATTCCGATTCGTTTTTGCATCCTCTAGCATTCTAGCCATGGTGTTTTCGAAGCACTGAGTTGCATTGCCGAGGATGGAAGGCCTCTGATACGATGATTCTCCTTCGCTGGCTGTTGAAGCTAGTCACGACTGGCCCTGTTCTACGTGATGCTTCAGGCCGCACTGGGGTTTCCTTGCAGGCGCATTTTGCCGCCGATGCCACCAAACAGTTGGTCTGCTGTGCATTGCAAGATGGCGCTTCGGCTCTTCTGCGCATGTTTCAGATTCTTTACAAGACTGATGTTTGGTTGGATAGAGAGGCCGCTACAGCTGTAGCTGATGCCATTGATCTCTTTGCCAATGTGTATTGCTGTCTCGCGGGCATCTTTCATCGAGAAGTGAAGCAGTCAAGGTTCCACATGGAGCCCACGCTCCATCATTTTGCACATGTGTCTGAGCGTATGCGAGAAGTGTTGGCGACTGGTGCTAACAAAGTTTTGTCCCCTGCATGTTTTCTGTGCGAGCAATCGGAGGACTTCGTCGGCCGCATAAGCCGGCTGGCGAGACGATGCGCTGCCCGCACATGCGGGCAGCGAACCCTACAGCGCTATTTGATCAAGGTCTGTTTGGAGTGGGAACGCGCGTGAAATGATTCCTAGGTCCTAGTGTGGGTGCACTCTGTTTTCAAGAAACCCTCAAGATTACATCCCCAGCTCACCGTTAATGCTGAAATGGCTCTGCCATTGACTCCTCCACGCTGTGGTCGCCACAGCAGCACGCCCAGGCAACCATTTTACAGGGGCTTGGTAGTCTGTTGAACTTAGAGGTTCGATTTAGATTCGGATGAGGTGGGAAGGTCTGAATCACTTCGGGAGTCCATGACGAGGTCCATTCTTGTTCAAGTACAACATGCAGTGCATGTGAGGTCTGATTCATCTTGATCAATAAGCACATTTCTGATATGGCACATTTATGGTATCAGGTCCATTTCGGGAACTGCTTCTGGGCAGCCCAAAAAAACAGCACCAAAAGGAAGTCCAGGTAGGCTTAGGGCCATTTTTAGGGTTTAGGGT